CAAGGAGATTCTTTTGGGGCCATAGACATTGGTTGATGATTGACGTGACTCAGTCGTTGTATGTTAAATCACACAAATATAAAATTTATAAAACTAGAAAATACGAATTTTTGGATATTTAGAAGTATTTCTAAATAAATATATCAATTATAATTCAATAAAAATTCCAAAAATAGCGGTAATTTTCCAGGTCGATCACAGGGATGTAATATAATATCTGGTAATTATTCAGAATTTTTCTCAATGAGTACGATTTTCTTACGAATTTTATACTAGGAAATAAAAAATAAATATATTTAAAATTCACAAAAAAAAGAAAATAAGGGTGCGGACGTCAGGATGACGTCAGCACCCAGCGAATGCGAATCAGGCGGAAATAGAGTTCCGCCTAGCGATTCTTACGTAGGCGATTACAGACGACTCAATTAATCAAATTAAGATCTGTAAAAGCCGGAAGAATCGTAATTGAACGAAGTATAGTTTGGTAAATTAAAATCAACAAAGTATCACTAAATGAAGCGTAAATTAAATTGAAAGCATGAAAACAAAGTTCCGGCGTCGCGACGGCGATGCGTCGGCGATGCACCGGAATCCTGAGCGTTCAAGAGGATCGTCGTGTAGTGTCCACGGCCTCGAAGGCTCTCCTTGGACAAAGACGACGTGGGCAATCTCTAGATCTTCTCGCGAAGTCTAGAGATCAATGAAGTGGGTCGTCGAATCGTCTCCGACGGCTGTCACCCGGCGGAGCGGAAAAACGGCGACTTTGCGGCTCTCCGGCGGCTGTCACCCAACGGAGAGGAGCTGGATGGAGGTGGGGCACGTGTCAGGGAGCTTCATCCTCAGGTCCGCGCAGCAAGAGGAGGCTCTTCATCGCATCTGGTACGCTCTCAGGAGGTGGCGACTGGTCTCCTGGCGGATCGTCCTCTTCCCAACGACGGCTTGTTCATCGATCAATCGGAGATGATTTACTCGATAGATTCACGATCCTTTTATCGCAAATCGTTCAGCAATTTTAGTAGCAATGCTCCGCGAATCGCGTTGACGAGATTTTCGCCGATGATCCAGCGATTCTCGTTGCTTAATCCTTCATCGGTGATCTGTAGGAAAGTCGCGATAATCAGATAAAAATATATGAATTTTGACTCTGGGAGGATTCGAACCCGCGCCGGTCGCCCCACCTCTTTTGAGGAAGGTGTGGGTTTGGTCCCACATCGGTTGTACGCCGAGTTTTCGGGTGTACGACCACTCCTTGCCTCACAGCCGGCTGGCCATCGGTCACGTGGAAGGGGAGTGGCGTACGCGTGCCTGTCGGTCCCCAAGCCAAGCCGCTCGAGCCCCTGCTCGCGGCTTACTCCCCGACTGTGCTTCCGACCCGCTTGCGGGCACGGCTGGCCGCCGGGTCCCCCCATTTTTGCAATATTTTATTTTTATTTCTTGTTCTTCATTTATCTCAAAAGTAAGACTGTAAAAATCGTATAAAATCACATAATTACCCAAAAATTCACGTTAATTAATTGAAAACCAAAAATCATTCTTTAACACAAATATAAGTCTATTTATCATGAGTTAAGGCTAAAACTATATTAATTACTAATTATTAACTCATGATAATGAAGACTTATCAATGATCCTCTTGAACATACAAAATTTCAGCAATTGTTATCGTGAGGTTGGAACTCAGCCTTCTCTACTTTAAACTTAATTTTCACTTAATTTAGCAATATTTTTTGTGATTTAAAGTTTTTAATATCTTCTTCATTCAATTATGATTCTTTTGGTTTTTCAAAAATCTTAATTTAACCTATTAAATCATTTGTGGTCGCTTATGTAAGAATTAATGGGTGGAACCTAATTTTCACCCAAATCGTATTACACAAGGCACTAATGTCATCTTGACATCTGCACCCTTATTTCTCTTTTTAGTTAATTTTTAAATATATTTTTTGTCATTATTTACTCTAAAAATCATAACTTACATCCCTATGCTCAACTCATAAATTTCTCACTATTTTTTAGAACCTTTTATTAAATTATAATTTATTTATTTATTTTTAAATATTTTTAAAAATTCAAAAATTAGTATTTTCTAGTTGTATAAATTTTAAATTTATGTGATTTATTATATAACAAAAGAAAAGTCACATCAAATTTTGATGATATTGTTTGGGATGTATTATATAATATTTGGTATTTTTCTATTTTTCTCTTAGAGTATACCAAAAATATTTCACTCTTGTTTTTTTTTTCTTGTAGAAAAATTAAAAAAAAGAAAAAAGAGAATGAAAAGTAGCAAGGCAAGGATTGAAGCAGACTAAAGGAGGGCAATAGTTATTAAAAATAGTTCTCGAATTTATTAATTTTTTTATGTAATAGAAGATCCTTACACCCAAGGTTAAAAACTTCTTTCACTATTTCATCTAAAACTAAAATTTTGAAAGAAAAAATAATTTTGATGGATTCTAAAGGAAGTTAGGTCAAATTGAGAACAACCTTATGGCCATGAAAAATCATTATATATGTAATTCATTTCAATAAACATCTACTATTAGACTCCCATTAGAACTCATAGTTAAATTCGAAATAAATTCAAAAATTTTCTAAATGCTCTCTAATTTTCATAGATTACCTTTAAAGGAATTTCCTCAACATTTAAAATATTTTCATATGGTTTGTGATTTAGTTAATCTATCTCAAGTTATACAAGAAACTATTAAGATGAAATTATTTTCTCATACACTTAGAGACAAGACTAGTTATTAGCTATTCGCATTAGAGAGGGAATTAACTAACTGAAAAGATATAAAATAGGTCTTTCTTCAAAAATTTATCTCTTAAAAAAAACTCAAAATATGAGAAAACATATATGGAAAATTCAATATTATACCCAAATAGAAACTCAAAATATTAAATTTGTTTATGATGGATTATTAAAATAACATAAAATATAGTTGCTTCTATATGTGAAGTAGTTTTTATAAAGAAAATCCTTGGTGAGATTTATAGCCTTTATGAGAGTCTAAGTGAAAATTCTAGAGATCAAGCCTCTTTTGAGTTATATAATACAGATAAGAAAATTCTAATGAAAATATTATAGCTAGCAACTCTTTTTCAATTGTGGTATAATGTAATTGAGCATTGAATATAGTTTTGTTAACATATGAAATTACTATGGATTTTGACTCTTTTCTTTGTCCTAGTAAAGCTCCCACTACATAATTTGATACATCGCATATTATTTAAAGGGGAAGAGACAAATTATGAGCTTATAAAATGAGTGCCTCAATAAGTAATATTTGTATTTCAGAAAAAAACTCAAAACATTTCTCATCAAAATTAAAAGGCACATCTTTAGATAATAACATGGTGAGAGGTTTATGAATTTTTGAAAAATCTTGAATAAATTTTTTATAATAACCTGCATGATCCAAGAAAGAATTAATATATTTTACTAAATTCAGAGGTTTTATTTTAGATATAATATCAATTTTTACTCTATTCACATCTAAACCCTTTTTACTCACAATATGATCCAACACAACTCTCTCTCTAATTATAAAATATAATTTCTCCTTACTCAAAACTTTTTTTTTTTCTATTCATCATTAAAGACTTTGCTAAAATCTCCAAACCCCTTACTAATTTACTTTCTAAAGATGTCAATTTCATTTTTGATGATAACGCTTAAACTACCTTTCTACAGATCAAGGAAGCTCTCATTCAAGTGCCTATTTTGTAGGCCCTTAATTGGAATCTTCCATTTGAACTCATGTGTGATGCTTCTGATTTTGTAGTTGAACTAGTTTTAGGTCAAAGGGTGGACAAGAAACATGCAGCCATCTATTATGCTAGTAATATCTTAGGAGATGCGAGGTCAATTATTCTACAACTGAAAAAGAATTGCTAGCAATTATCTTTGCTTTAGAAAAATTTCGTTCTTATTTATCAGGTAGTAAAATAGTTGTTTACTCTGATCATTCTGCTTTGAAATTTTTACTTAGGAAGAAGGAAGCTAAACCTAGACTAATGAGATGGATTTTATTGCTATAAGAATTTGATTTAGAGATTAAAGATAGACCTAGGCATGAGAATGTAGTAGCTGATCATTTATCTAGACTACATTTTGACTCACCCTTACTCATTTTAGATTGTTTTCCTGATGAACAGATCTTGGAGGTGCAGACTAGAAATTACCTTGGTATGCTCACATAGTAAATTACTTAGCTGCAGGTCACTTACCAAATGATTGGGACATTAATGATAGGAAAAAGTTATTCAAAGAATTAAAGTATTATTTTTGGGAAGAACCTAAGTTATTTCATTTGGGAGTCAACCAAATCATTAGGAGATGTGCCCAATGAAGAACAATAGACGATTTTAGAAGCATGTCACTCTTCTCCATATGGGGGGTTACTTCTCGTCTAAGGTCATAGCTGTCAAGATCTTGCAAGCTGGCTTTTATTGGCCAAGCTTGCATAGAGATTGTTGAGTTCTACAAAATTGTTTGAAGTACCAGGCTGCTGTGAACTTGCACAAGCAAGATCATATGCCTTTGCAGCCAATTATTGAGGTTGAGGTTTTTGATTTGTGGGGAATAGACTTCATGGGCCTTTTTCCACCTTCTGAGGGTTATGAGTACATTTTGATGGGAGTAGACTGTGTCTAGATGGGTAGAAGCTATCCCCACCAAATCAAATGACCATAAAGTAGTACTAAAGCTTATTTTGCAGAATATTATCAGTAGGTTTGGATGTCTAAAGGTGATCATTAATGATGGGGGTACCCACTTCAATAATTTTCAATTTAGAAATTTACTCAAAAAGTATGGAGTTCATCATAAGATGACCACTCCCTACCATCCTCAAGCCAATGGACAAGTAGAAAGTAATAGAGAGATTAAAAACATTTTGAAGAAAATTGTAAAGCCAGATGGTAAGGATTGGGCAAGTCGACTCTATGATGCTTTATGGGCTTATAGGACTGCTTATAAAACGCCCTTAGGTATGTCACCATATAGAGTGCTTTATGAGAAAACTCATCACCTTCCTATTGAAATTGAACATAAGGCATATTGGGCTATTAAGAAACTTAACCTCTCTCTAGATGATGTAGGTAAGAGTCAACTTTTGCAGCTGCATGAACTTCAAGAACTTAAGAATGAAGCCTATAAAAACTCCATCATCTATAAGGCCAAGATGAAGAATTTCCACAACAAGGCCTTGAGGAAAAGGAATTTGCATGAAAATCAGAAAGTGTGGCTTTATAACTCTCACTTGAAACTATTCCCTGGGAAATTAAAGTCCAGATGGAATTGCCCCTATGTTATCACTGAAATTTTTGATTCAGGTGCAGTTCTCATCATAGATCCAAAGACAGGACATGCTTTCAAGGTCAATGGACAGCAGTTGAAGCCTTATCTTGAGGCAGAACCACCACTAGCAATTGTCTCCTTGATTTTTCAGGATATACCTAAGGATCATCCTCAGATTTAGACTTTCTACCTTGCATTTCTATCTCACAACTTTTGAACTTAGCCCCTTGTCTTATTATTTAGATTTTGAAGTTTTCTTCCTCTTATTTGAATAATGTGAGCTGTTGTTGGCTTGCTTTGAATGCTCTCTTCGAATTGTTTGTGACTGATCAACTAGGGAGAAGTGAGGATAACTCCTAAAATTTCAGCTTCAGACACATCAATATAAGATGATTAGTACCTACACAAATCGGTTTGCATTTTCAGTTTTCCATATTCGTTTATTCTCTGCATTAGGGACAATGCACATAATAGTTGGGGGGGTGCTGTGAATGTGAATCTGAAAATATATCAATTCATGATGCATGCATATTTATTTCATTCTATATCTCGTGGCATGCATTCATCCTATTAATTTAAGCCCCATTTGAGAAACCTATCTCATCCTTGCTCTTAAAAGCATGAGGAACGAAGTTAGGCTCTTGTAGCAGATCAAAAGCATCTCTAAATGATATCAACCATGAATCTAGACACTTTTGATTAGTTTTTAAGTTACTAGGATATCTAGTAGGGTGAGGAACGGACATGAAAATCAAAGGGTAGAAGTACTATCATTGTGGAAAGGAGTGATGAGAGAATTGAGTGTAGCCATATCCCTGCTTGTTAGGTTGACCAGATCCTACTCATGTGTCTAGAATTGTCATTAGGTGGAGTCTTCATTTGAGAGAAGAAGTGGTCGTCTCTTCAAGTCCCAAGCACAGAATTACTTTCCTTTGAGCCACCTAAAGCTACATTTGGAAACCATGTGTACCAACTTCAAGTCACTAAGTACCAAATTTTCCCGTCCTCTATACCTATTATCCTTTATAAGAACTCATTTTTCATTTATTTCTCATGTTATAGTAATATTCTATTTACAACTAATAAATAATTTTCTCTCGCATGTACGACCACTTCTTGTCTCATAGTTGACTAGCCACTAGTGACATGAAAAAAGAGTGGCACACATGTGTCCCCATCGGTCTTAGTTACTTGAGCTTTTGCTCGTGGCTCTTTCCGACTTTACTTCCAACCTACTTGTGGGCCCAGTTGGTTGACATGTCTTTCCCTTTTATTATATTTTTATTTTAATTTCTTTTTTATCTAAAAAATAAAGCAATAAAAATTATATAAATTTGTAAAAAATCACATAATTAGTTAAAAATTAATATTAATTAATTAAAAATTAATTTTCATCCTTTACTATAAATATAAATCTATTTATCATGAGTTAAGACTAAAACTATATTATTTACTAGTTATTAACTCATGATAATGAATAATTATTACTTACTATTTTATGGTACTCAGTCACCACCACTCCCGTTCTCATCGCCCACCTCATTATCGTCGTATTGTCTCCTTGTCGTCCGCCCCATCATCGCCACTCCTTTTCTCGCCAGCCACCTCGTCGTCGTCTCATCTCCTTGTCATCTGCCCCATCACCGTCACTCCTTTTATCGCCAGCCACCCCGTCGTCGTCGTCCCGTCTCCTTGTCGTCCGCCGCATTACCGTCACTCCCCTTCTCGCCAGCCACCCTATCGCCGTCATCTCGCCTCCTCGCCGGCTGCCCCGTCACCGTCGTCCCACCTCCTCGTCTATCCCGTTGCCGTCGTCCCACCTCCTCGTCTATCCCGTTGCCGTCGTCCTGCCTCCTCGCCGTCTGCCCCGTTGCCGTCGTCCTGCCTCCTCGCTGTCCGCCCGTCGCCATCACTCCGGCTCCTTGCTGCCCACCTCATCGCTGTTGCAAACCCTCTTCTTTTCTCTCCTGCTGCCGCCACGAAACCCCATTTCCCTCTTTCTTGCTGACGCCCTCATTCCGCCACCTTTTTCTCCCTCACGACGAGAATGCCCCTCTCTCCCCCGCCGAAACCCTCTTCCTTCTCTCACCTGCCGTCGCCACGTACCCGCTCATTTTCTTTCTCTCTCTCTCCCACCGACGCCCTCTCTCTCTCTCTCCCCCCGCAGAAACCCTCTTTCTTCTCTCTCCCGCCATCGCCACGTACCGCCTCATTTCCTTTCTCTCTCTCTCTCTCTCTCTCCCGCCGACTCATTCCGCCTCTTTTTCCTCTCCCCACCTTTTTATTTATTCACCTCATTATTTTATTCTAATATTCTTACTATTCCTCATTTACACCTTTTTCTCCTCTTATAATTTTGATTATTCAAATACTTTGCGTACTTTACCTACCGAGCTCAAACCACTCATTTTCTTGAATCATCACCTATTGAAAAATCCCCAACAAGGCTCCTAGATCTCAAGCCACTAGAATAAAAAAAATCATTCAAGAATCTTCTTTGGCAAGGTACGTTGATTTCAATTCTTTTTATGGAGTGATCATTATTTTTATATCCTTGGTCCTTATAGGAATTGAGTGAACCATAAGATAGCCTAACACTCTTGATTGAAACTCTATCTGAATTCTTGAAAGTGCAGTTCTTCTCAGATAATTCTTCTAAAATCAGTAGGATTAACCTACTCATACTTCTCCTTAACTTAGCCAAGGATAATCTTAAATCCCAACTTTCTTTTCGGTATTGATATTTCTCTTTAGTCCTGCATCATCTTCACTGAAAAGAGAAGTGCAAAGAAATTTCATGTAAACAGAGCCTATGATGGATTAGATTTCCATATGTCCCTATTTGCGAAGTATCTTTTCCTATAACATTTCTTGCTTCAAGGAACCTTCCTACCCTTGATTCAGTCATGTTTGATCCCACTAGAGGCCCCAATAACCAGAGACGTAAGAGTAAGTCAAAAGTCTCTCTTTCCTCCATGGCCTAGGGTCTATTTATCTGCAGATATTGACCTCTTTTAATTGACTCCAACAACATTAATTTCTTATTTTCTCTCCTGGAATAGCGAGGCATCTAGACAAGAAAAGGACCACAATTCGGAAGCCATGCTTGTGAAGTGACTTGGTACTTTTTTGTTGGAGAGACTGTAAGTCATCTTCCAATGCATCAGTTACATCACAGATTGATATCCCGAGGGGCAGATGCCTTGATAACCAGGTGTATGAAGATGAAGGGAGAGGTATAACATCAGTTGTTCTGCTGCAGTTGACCTGTGTATGCACAGCTAATTTTTGGATGGCTTTACTAGGTAACGATGGATTATAGATGAGAAAATTTATCCTAGGTGCCTGCTTTATCCCAACTGAAATCATCCCCTTCTTTCAGAACTCTCCTTTTTCTGCATTTTGATGCCATTTGAAATGGTCAACAGATCGCAAGGAGTATAAGCATCCCTCTCTTCAAGTACCTCTATAGAGGATAAGCCACCAGAGCCAACAGAAGGTCGTCTACCTGAGTAGGAGGTGAGTGGCATAACTAAGTGTGTGGCTCCTCCACTTTCTTCTTGTGCAACCAAGGAACGTTTGTTATATTTATATATATAAAGTTGATGGCTTTTCTATTCACTGTAGGATATCAAAGAAACGCCCGGTTCCCTTCATGGAGGAGTGAGAGCTATACGAAAGGTCGAATCTGAGTGGGTGTGGGCTCAGATATCTCTATCATTGATTTACATCCAACCCCATGGGGTCATGGAAACTGTGAACGGAGCACTGTAGTAACAGTTGCATTGATTCGTCAAAGAAATCAGCATATTTGATGATTTCATCCTAAGTTGGCGGAGGCGGCGTTTTAGCAATTAGTTCATCTTCACGAGTCATTTCATGTACTTTTTTCCGTGTGTTAGCTCAGAATTTGGCAGTGATCGTTTGGTAAGTCAGCCTTAACAATGAGTCAGTTAATTAAAGGTATCAATGGAGATGGGTGCAGTGGTAACGGCTCCGTTGATGATGAATGTGGCTCTCATGGACCCTCACATTGAAGGAGGATGTGAGGGTCCATGAGAGTAGTGGCTGTTCCGCTCCTTGAGGGGGCTCGTGGTGGTACGTTATTGTCATGCATGCTTGAGGTGATGTTGAAAAGTAGGGTGGCCGAAACACCAAGCTGGCGGGACAGCCGATGATAACAGCCGTGAGAGACATGAATGACCTCCTGTCAAATCGTCCAATCCGTCCACGCATCTCTCGCTTTCACGAGAGTCGCCCCCAGCCCCCCCGTTAAGAAGAGTTGACGTTTCTCTGGCAGCGCAAGAGGAAGTCTTGACGCCGTCGTGTTCAAGCTGGCTGGAACCCCATAAAGGCAGACACTAGGCGCAACCGACAGCCCCGAGGCGCCAGCTGTCCGTTTCGAGCCGAAAATAGCGAATTACGCGGTATAACAGCTTGCATGAGAGCCCCCACCCCCCGGTACGCAGCGCTAAGTGGGAACAACTGCTGCAGCGTCATCACAAGGCCTGGCTTGTCTCCGTACCGGTGACAGCTGGAAGGTACCGGTCCCCACTCGCCCTCCGGCGACGCACGCGACGGGGAGAAGGGCTTCTCAGGGCGCGTAGGCGGTGCTCCAGAACTGCCGTCGAGTGCCCCGGTCGAGGATCCGGAGGAGAACCTGGTTGCTGGTGCACCGTGGTGTCTTGAACTGCCCCAAGGTTCCCCCAATGCCGACAAAGTAGTCCAGTATCTTCTTGAAGGTGCCCGTCTCCACCACCCGGAGCTCCAGCGGTCCGATGGAGCCATTGCGCCTCAACTCCACGTAGCCGCACTCGGTGAATGCCAGGTCCATCACTCGACAGCACTCCTGCAGCACATCTTCGTCCGCCTCCCCCTTCACCTCCCAGTAGACAACGTAGTGCCCTCGCTTCTGCGCGCCGTCTCCGACGATCGCGTGACTGGTAAAATCGATCAGTTCTGATCTCGCTCGGGCCAGCAAGCGAGAGGCATTCTCCACGGCCAGCTGCAAGTCTTTCTCCGTGCTCCTGTCGACGTTCACGGTGAGGAAGACCTTCCTCCGGGAGACGAAGCTCAGTTGGGGGGCGCCCTTGTAGAAACCCCTTACCTCCACCACGTCTCCGAGCTTGTACCTGTACAGTCCTGCGACATGGAGAAATCGAGATGAGTTGCTCAAGCATT